GGCAAGTGCAAGGTCCTGCACCTAGGGAGGAAGAACCCCATGCAGCAGTAGTCAAGTTGGAGGCTGGGGGTTGACGTGCTGGAAAGTAGCTCTGCCGAGAAGGACCTGGGAGTGCTGGTGGACAACAACTTAACCATGAGGCAGCAATGCACCCTTGTGGCCAAGAAGGCCAGTGGTCTCCTGGTGTGCATTAGGCAGAGTGTTGCCAGCAGGTGGAGGGAGGTGATCCTGCCCCTCTCCTCAGCCCTGGGGAGGCCTCCCCTGGAGTACTGTGTCCAGTTCTGGGCTCCCCAGTACAAGAGAGACCTGGCACTACTGGAGAGACATGGCCCTCCAGCAGAGGGCTACAAAGATGATGAGGGGCCTCTCTCCTCTGAAGAAAGGCTGAGGGAACTGGGCTTGTTGAGCCTGGAGAAGAGAAGACTGGGAGGTGATCTCATCAACGTGTAGAAGTATCTGAAGGGGGAGTGTCGAGAGGATGAGGCCAGCCTCTTCTCCGTGGTGCCCAGGGACAGGAGAAGAGACAATGGGCAGAAACCAAAACCCAGGCAGTTCCAGCTGAACCTGGGGAAAAACTCCTTTCCTGTGAGGGTGACGGAGCCCTGGAACAGGTTGCCCAGAGAGGTAGTGGAGTCTCCTTCCCTGGAGATATTCAAAACCCGTCTGGACGCGATCCTGGGCAATGTGCTGTAGAGGCCCCTGCTTGAGCAGGGGGGTTGGACTAGATGATCTCCAGAGGTCCCTTCCAACCTCAACCATTCTGTGATTCTGTGAGTCTCTGACAAAGACCGCACCTGTCCCTTGAGATTGCGCCTCTAAATCATCCATTTGGATATATCTGCCAGAGGTTTTGTTTTATGTCTTAAGTTAGTAGAAGGGAGGATAATTTCACCAGGAATCACCAATGCAGCATTTTTTCTGGGATGCAGGAGCAATGGGGAATGCAGGGAACTCAAATGTAAGTTCATGGCAGGTTTTGAAGGCCAACCTCAGGTACCTGCTTGAAAGGCAGAATTTAGGAGCTAAATGAGCCTAGACACAGTGAATAGCAACAAAGAGGGAAACACTTCTGCAGGAGGATTCCTCCCTTGACGCTCCTTCTACAGTTTATACTAAGAACCTAGGGGATCTTTAATCCTGGCTGAGGCACCTCATACAGCAGGTATCTGGTGTTAATTTTCATTACTCAAACTCTAAGGTAATTAGAAGACAGGGAGAGGCATTTATGAATTGCTGTGTTGGTATGAAGGACTGAATCCTAAAGGATACTTCAGCAACAGTCTCTTCAGAACAGAAGCTCACAGTACTCTGCTTAAAAACATGCACATTTTGTGAAAAGATCTTGCAACACTAATCAATGCGCTAATATTTAAGGTAAACCTTGCCAAGCTTGAAGGTTTTTGGGATACAATCACTGGGAGAAATATCAGCCATTTGAATGTATGTATATATTAATTTTAGTTCTATAAATATTTACATCACATATTTCACAAAACCCCATTATGAATATGATTGAGCTCTTTATTTGCCTTCTAAAAACATAATCAAATTCTGAGCAAGGATATCACAGGAGTCCTTCAATATTTAACCTGAACAGAAAGGTATTCAAAAGCAAACAATGTGTCCTGACCATGCAAAACACAGTGCATTATTTTGGTTACATTAGAGCCAGACAGAATTAAACGGTTGACACTATTCTAGTGATACACAACTGCCATAAACTTTCAACATCTTGAAGAAAATCAATAAAAAATGTGATGATTTTTTTCAGCAGTAATTTACAACTTAAAGGTCAAGTACACCCTTGGATACTGAGTCACCTGATTCTCAGCAAACTACTACAGGTGGGGAGTAAGAATGAAATAGTTTCTCTTTGTCTTCAGTTCACATGAAAAAACAAAACAAAACACGCTTTCGTTTGGGGAAAAAAAGGGGGGTGTGAGGGGAATATACCAGGTTAAAAAATATAATTGTTTTTCAGGACAATTCACTTTCCCAAATAGGCAGAAGTCTTACAACAGTGCAGTGTGATCAGTGGCTCTACCTGATAGACCTCCATGATGAAAAGTGTACTATTCATCATCCTCAAACCCCTGGAGAATTTTCAGGGGCTCGGTGTCAGGCTTTCCAGCAGTGGACCCTGTTGAGAAGAAGGGGAAGAACTTCCCTCCCTGGCTGCTGGCACCACCAAGGCTGAAAGTGTACACAGCTGTTTCCTTGGGGACATTATAAAATGACAGCTGCTGGGCTGCGGTGTCCAGGAAGATCCCAATCTTTCTGGGTTTCCCACTCACAGCCAAACGGGTCCAAGGCTCTGTGCGGGCCCAGTAGTCTTGCCCATCGGCTAACCCTATGACCCAGAAGCCATTCTCTGGGGAGAGAGTCAGTGTCCCTTTGCGAGTCACAGGCTCCCGGGCAATGCCCAAATCCCAGTTTCTTCTCTTGCCAACATCCACTTCCCAATAGCGTTTCCCAGATGTGTAACCTTCCTTTGCCAAAACAAAAAGGTGGGAGTCAAATCTCTTCTCTGTCCTGGGCACACTT